TGTTAGCCTCAAGACATATAGAGCGTAGATTCATTAATAGTAATGAAAAGGTGAAACAATTCAACTAGAAGGACAGTAGGTAAAAGCACACCACATAGGCCATGATTAACCAATTTCCCTATAAAAAAGGCAATGATTAACCAATATGTCATGCAGATGTTAATGCTCACAAGCATACATTTGCAGCTTGAATAATGCACACCTCGTTTAATCAAGATGATAGGATGAAATTATGATTCACTCAAAGCATCAGTTTTTGGGCTCCCTCTTTTGTCAACTGATTAAATCTACGTAATTACGCTGATACAGAACACGAATACAATCTAGCATGCTAGAACTACAAGACTTTAACAGAACTATAGACTTTTAGTCAGATATGTCCAAGACAAACAATTAGGTCATCAAATGGAATCGTCGATTAACATAAAATCAGTTCTTCAGACTCGCGCACTTCAAACTGCAGAAAATTGGCTTAGACAAATAGGATTAACAAGAAAAAGAATCTGTTTTAAAAAATTCTAAAATAGGACTATGTATGTATTTACCAAAATAGGACTTATTAATTCGTATTGTTATGAGTAAATGGATCATATTTTACAAAGAAATTATGCTATGCTTTATATCTATATAGAGAATTTTCTATTAACAAGAATAGCCATAAAACACGAATATATTTTTCGAATCTCAATAATTTACGTCTTTCAATGTTGATCATCAAGAATTTATGGTTTCATACACGTAGATGCAGGTGAAGTAAATTTTCCAAATAACAACTAGCGTAGAGCTGATAAATAACAATGATAATAATACAGAAATAAGTGATCGAGACAAAGTGATTAAGGACTTACGTTAACCAGCAAGCTTAGCGGAAGATATATGTCACTACGTTAATCGGAGTATATGAAACTAAAAGACGAATAATCGGATGAAAATCGCGCAAGGGAAGGCAATTTATAGTACCGGCTGGGACCAGAAGCTTCTGGATGACCGGATCCGAAATTTCATTCATTACGGTTAAATAAAATTGTACACCGGTGGTTCCTAACATTGTTAGGGGTGGACAAAATAACTGAACATCCATATGTACGGGACCCGAAAACGGAATTTCAAAATGTTCTCAAAAATTTTGTCTCCAACCGGATCGGACTGATTCTAAACCATGCCATGATCGGTTCTCATAAAATGAGAATCGGTACCGGACGAACCAAACTGAATTATAATTTTATTAATTTATATAATTTTATAATTATATATACATGTATACCATATTACCAGTAATTACTTTGATTACTCATTTGCACTTTGCTAATTGCTAGTTAACCGGATCGGTAAAAATGAATAGTATTATATGAAATTCATTAACTATGTTTTTGTTAGTTATTTATGTTTTGTACTATTGTAGTTTATAAGAAATTCATTAACTATATAATACTACTTATGTCCTAAAAACTTTTCCATTTTCAAAACTTTGACCAATTATATTTTTTATTGGGAATTATTTATAATATAAAAATTATATGAAAATGTTATTTGTTAAAAATACTTTCATAAAAGTATAAAATTTATAACTTCCATAATACTCCATACTAATCAAAATCATGGTTCAAATTTTTTGAAATGACAAAGTTTTTTAGGACAGAGGTAGTATGAAAATTGATAATTGTGTGGATTTTTGGATGATGACTAAGTTTTAATTTATCGAAAAAAGTGGCATTGTTTGGCATTGGTATGGCATGGTACCGGACCTTTTGAAAATGAAACCGAACCGAACGAGTTTAGATCTAAGACCGAACTGAACCGAATCGTTTCAATAGTAACGGTCCGGGTACGGGTTCGGTAAAATATTGGACCGGACCGGACCACGCCCACTCTTAGTTCTCGTTTAGAAAAAGTGAATCTATGCACATATTAAGAGTGAGAAATATGTGTTTTAAAATTGTGCAAAAGAGAGATAAAATAATGATAAATGTTGCGAACAATACATTCTTTATTAAAAAGGGACAGTGGAGTTTACATTGAGACGGACGAAAAAAGGAAAGAATGAAGATAATATTAGAACGGAGTGAGGGCATCCCCATCCACAGATTATTTTTGGGATCATTTTGATGATGTGGAGGATTTTTTTTTTAGATCATGGATGAGGATTTGAGATTATTTTATGAGATTATTTGATAAAAAATATGGTATCAAATTCTAAAGCTAGATTATTTTGAGATTGTTCACAACTTTTAGGCTCCTCTTCCCATTTTCTAGGCAACTAATAATAACTAGCTTTGTAAAAAAATCTAGATAAGTTAATACCATGGATGAGAAGAATGCAATGAGTGAATAAGTGATAAAAGTAAATTCTAAAGCATTGCTTAAAATGAGATAATGCAACAATATAAATTAATAAGTAGCAATTATATAATATTAGGAAAATGGAAACTAATAATCCAACCTTTTAGCGGTATTCTTAAAATAGTCCCACCTTTTGATTATTCATGAATAATCCAATCTTTGCACCCCATCTTCATTCACTGGTCCCTGACCGGTTTATGACCTGTTATTCCAAGTTATTTTCTTATCTTTGTAAAATATTATACCATAATTCTCACCTTATAATCACATAATGTTTTGCAAAGATAAGAAAATAACTTGAAATAACATGTTATAAATCGGCCAGGGACAACTGAATGAAGATGGGATGCAAAGGTTGTATTATTCATGAATAATCAAAATGTGGGACTATTGTAAGAAGACCGCTAAAAGGTTGGATTATTAGTTTCCATTTTCCCTATAATATTACTGTTGAAGGTAAGTCCCGTAGATCCGAAAGCCCAACACGAACTTTGGATATATCAGGAATGGATCAGAATCAAAGTGTATAATAAAATATAAAAGATGAATCCACTAATACCCAAAAGCCTACTTGTATTAATTAACCTGTCTGATTACAATGAAACTTCTCGATCGGTAGGTCGGAATAGTGCTTTTAATACAGGAAACAAGAGTAATAATGTTATTCTAGAGCTTGAGTATTGAAATGCTAACCCTTACAATGATATTAAACCTTCTATTTATACTAATGGAGAGCATGGGCTGCTCTATGCTAATTGGCCATTGTTCCACCGACTTGATCATCCATGTTTCCACTTGCTTATGTCACCATCTGACATTAATTGCACATGGCCACTTGCTGGTTGCCCGTTGCTCGAACGGGATGCTGGACCATGCGGACGATGCTGTCAAATTGGCCCAAGTATGATATATGGTCCGAACTCTGTTCGGTATCTCTTCTTTCTGGGCCGGCCTTTACTCGGACCGAACCCCGTTCGATATGGATTCTTCACTAGATCTACTCATCATGGGGTAATGGACTCGTTGTTTGGGCCAGGTATCCTGGGCCTTTTTAATCCGAGTATTGGGCCTCCGGATCAATATCCCAACAATTACCTATGTTCTTTAAATTTATGTGATTGATATTGAATTGATCAAATAATAATAATAATAAAGTAAAATCGATTTAGAACCGCACAAACATTACGATATTTGATATGATACCATTTAATGAGCCAGACCAAAGAGGAAAGATAAAACAACCTTAACGAAACAGAGAGTGTATACAATTATAACGTAGCGCAAATATGCAAGGGTCATTCATAAATGGGAAAACTGTCAATTTGATCCTTGTACTTCATGAAAAATTAATTAGGTCCTTGTATTTTTAAAAAGATCAATCAAATCCCTGAAGTTTGTAAAAACGTTCAATTGAGTCCATTTGCAGGTAACTTGCCATGTCAGCAAGTCACACACTGACGTGGCGCACATGTCGGGGATTTGATCCACTATTTTGATTTCATCCCCACCGAAGGCACTAAGGTCATTATGTGCCTCAAAATAAATACAATATTTGCACTAATATCGTAGTATAACGTAGTAAGAATCGTATCCACAGTGAATGAAATATTTCTCTTTTATGAAATAGTAACAAGGGGTTTTAAGTGCTTATATTCACTTACTAAAATGTTCGTCGATCCCGATTATATCTTTAAATATCTTCCTCTCGAATACGCAATCGTGGAGTATCTTCGATTCATCGAGGGTAGTTATTAATAACGAGATGCGTTCATTAATAAAACTAACTATCAAGTCAATATAGAACACGCACCGTATATTGACCCGATAGTAGCAATAAAACTTAAGATGAAATCGATTAAGATTGATAACCTCAACATAAGCGGTTTATTGGATTAATCAATATAATAATTCCTCTGGGCCAAAAACTGGGCCCGAGCCCGGCCCGCCCGAGCCGCCCTAACAGGCTAAAAGCCCGGAACCGGCCAACCGGTCCCAGTCCGGTCTGGGCCCGCACAGTAGCGGTTCCGAGCCGGTTCCGGACCGGGCCAGCCCGGTTTAGTCTATCCCTAATCCCAACCATCTTTGAAAAGATTTGAGAAAGATGGAAAAGAGAGAAGCTATTTGAGAAAGGAGAAAGAAAGATTATATATGGATAGGGTTAGATGGGTGGGGTGGTGGGAGAATGGATAAAAATAAAAAGGGCATAGTAGTCTATCTACACATATTTCTTACCCGGAATGGAAAATAAAGGAAGTGTGAACTTAAATATGGCATCCCGAAAAGGAAAGTGGGAACTTAATTGAGGGACAAAGGAAGTAATAAATATTTTATGGCATTATATATAAAAATTAATACGGACTGGACTAGACTGGCACAGGACCAGCAGGTCAATCGGAACCGAACCAGAACTGGAATAACCAGCATCAGTCTCATGTCCACCTTTCTCCTGACCAGAACTGGTCTGGAACCAGACCGTGTCTACACATACCTTCCAAGGTTCCACATGACCCACCATCAGACCACCTCTGGTTTTCGTTAGAAGAAGGATAAAGATCAAAAGTTAGCCCGATTACATGTAACTATGTAACGCTACCTTTGGACCCTGAACTGGCCGGTCTGGAACATAGAGGGTCCCGTCCTTCGCCCCTAATATAAATGCTGTGAAAATATAATAATCTGGTAATATAAATTCATACAAATGAATAAGGGGCACGCTTGAACAGAATTCTATTTATCCAATGTCATCTCTCACTCAATGTGTATCTGTAATTTTCCGCGTGGTAAGCGCTTCCTCTGTATGACATTGCATATTTGACATCTTTGTTCACCTGTACTATTCAACTTTTATTTAACTTATCACCCGCGAGAGAAATTCAGTACAATTACATTATTGCAAAGCGCTATTGCAGGATGATAATATGTGACCTCCCTCTGATCCCTCATGTCTAAGAGCAATGTAGAACCTGATCGCAAGAATAACTTGTGTATTTCGTCAATCAAAAAGATTGTCTACGTTGATGCCAATCAAAGCAGGGGCCAAAAGGTAAAATTCTTGGTTGTTCTAAATTGTCATTTGAAGAATCTCTTGACCTGTCAGGGAGAATTAAAAAAAAAAGAAATTATACGGAGTACCATAACTTAATTGAATTCCAGACAGAGTTTAAGAAAAGCAAATTGGAAGATTAAGACTTATTTGGAAGGGAGAGGATTCATATTAACTACACATTTTTTTCCACGAAACATTATTTAGGGAAAATATAAATAGTAATCACAACAGAAGAGAGAATGCACATCTAGTGAACAAAATATTCCACTTCTAGTTTGGTGAGTATTCTAGGGGAGAGTTGAAACTCATGACAAAGGACTGTTATTTCATTTTCTTATGTTTCCATAAAAGCCATTGAAAACTCACGAGTTTCGAGCTTCTTAAAGTAATTGGGCGGAGAATGCACACCCTAAAGGAAAATATGGTGAGACTTTTAAATTTGTGCATTGAATGTGGAAATAGTGAAAACAAAGACCACATGTAGAATGGCCCGATACTCGTAGGGTCAAAAGTGAAATTTATTCTTAGCAACGATGATGTTTTCAACTTTCATGCAATCAGTTAGATTAGAAAGGAAAATACACAAAATCATTAGGCAAACCAGCAACAGTCATTCCTTCATACAAGTGTAGGCAAATGCAAATATTTGTGAGTGCATTGAAGACATTCGACTGTTGCGTTGATGCAATATGTTGTACTTACATACTCCAGAGTCAAGAACATGATAGCATTCCATAATCCTAGTCGAGTGAAATTGGGAAAGAACCCCTTATACAAAGCGAAAGGCCCCTGAAAAAATGATTTCCTCACAAATAAAGTAATGGTGTGAAATTTTCAGACCACTAGTAGCTTGTTCATATGATGTCCGTATATGAGTCATGATCTAGCCACTTCTTAACTTACCAAAGGGACGAAGACTGAAATAACGATACCAAACTAAAAATTTGATCCTGCGTGTAAAAAATATCACAATTTTGGACTACATGCAATTATATGTAGAAAGTAGAAACTTGAATCTCAGAAAATAATGTTAAAGTAATTTACTAATGTAGTATATTAATTCTCATTACTCGGTTCTTCAATGTCTTACAATGGCGACGCCTATATTATGGTTGTAGTTTACACAAGCTATGAGTAACGGGTCGGCCAGGCAACACATGATATTAAAACACAAAAAGTTTTAACGCGAGAGAATTTTTTATAAAAGCCAAGACAAACTACTTTTTACTATCCAAAAATGGCAACTCTACACGAAAAATATCATTAGAGTTCTTCTTACATACACAAGTAAAACTAAAAATATATGCAATTTATGACATTTTCGTGACTTTGACCATTGTTTGGCGAGAGCATAGAAAATAGAGGCGCAAAAATGAAAGAAGAATACCTCAAACTTTAAAGTTTTGTATAAGCAATCGATAGTGCTTTTGTAAATTGAGTCTCCCATCATTCTAGATTTAACCTGTAACATAGAAAATAAGTATATAGTTTAGAATAGAATGAACACGTAACCGCAACCTCATATACTCCGCAGCTGAATTGTTCCACACAGTCATTCTCACTAGATTAAATGATACCCCCTCATTTTATTTGATCATCCATATTACCATCGTGTGGAAGAGAGACTTTCAATGATGATCCAAATACTTATGAAGTTTCTCATCCTAAGGAATGTAAATACTCTGCAAGTTCAATGCCATAGTTATGGACTACTCCAGTTCAATGCTTTTTATCCTCCACTCGAATACATTACTGCTTCAGATATTAGTTTGATTACACCCCAACAACATTTCAGTATTTCACAGCAAAGTATTTCAATAGTAGGAAGAAATAGAAGCTATCACTGTGTGATGATTTATTCTCCAAGAAATTTTACCACATCAACAGGGGAGCCAACAGAGACTGCAAAAAACCCTGCACCGCAACCAGCTAGTAGATGAGTTAAAGGACTATCGGTGAACCCTGGAATTTTTAAGACTGTCTGCAAAACAAAGAGGTGAAATATGAAAAGCATGATATAATAAACAAAATTTGCTTGCTACTAATACAACAACATTGCCGCAGTGCCGTAAAGGCTCCACCTACAGTGGCATAAGAGGGTCGAATGTACGCAGATTTACCCCTGTACTAAAGCACGGAGACTGTTTCCGGATGACTCGTGATAAAAATCGCGTCGAAAATTGTATGGATTGAGTGCTACTTCATAACAAAGAAGCGCAGACAGTTTAGTAAGTCATTTTGCTTTATTCCATCATATTCCCAAATCCCAAGACAAAAAATAGTGAGTCTTTGGCTCCATTGGAAATGATGGACTTTTGCTCGCTACTTATATGACAACAACAACATTACCCCGGTGCTGCAAAGGTTCCCCCTACGGTGGGGTAAGGGTGTCGGATGTACGCATCCTTATTTTTGTACTAAAGCACAGAGAGATTATTTTCGAATAACCCATGATGAAAATCGCATCGTGTAAGTTTTAGGAATTAAACTTCCTTGATTGAATGAGCCATACGGCCAGAGTATAAATACAGTTTGTACAGATAACTACAAGCTAGTACAGATCCTAAAAATTAGGATCTAGATAACTATGAGCTTATCTACAATAACTAAGTCTATCCGACTCACTATGTACATCAATCTAATCAGGAAAAATAATGTAACATTTTTCTAATAATGTAACATTTTTCTACACATCCAAATTTGCATGGACTAACTGCTTGTCTACTTCTTCATAACAAAAAAGCGCAAACAATTTATTGAGTCATTTTGCTTTATTCCATCAAATTCCCGAGCCAAAAAAATTGTGAGTCTTTGGCTCCATTGGAATTGATGGAAATTTTTGCTCATTGCCAATGCTTAACAATATTCCCTTTGTTCTTTTTTATCCTTGTTTTTCCTTTTTGTGTTAGTCTCCAAATATTCTCCTGACTCTCCTCTGTTTTCTTTTAGTAAAGGATCATGTGGTTGCTATAGTTTCTTTATCTTGTGAACAAATTTAAGCCACACCATTTTCACTTTATTAAAACCCGTTTAAAGTCACATTGGGAGATAAATAAGAGATGCAGATGGTAATTGATAAGCCATCCATAACTCCACGCAAAGAATTTGTTATGTACCTCTTTGACATGATCATAGCTAGCCAGCTCAGCAGCATTTATGATTGCATTTCGTGCAACATTTGGCACAAGCCCTGTCCACAAAGCTGCAAATCCTTCCTATGATTTTAACCCGTTAAGCTCAAACCTATAAAAGGTCAGGCTAATCATATGATTGGGGAGTGATACCTGTTTTGCTATTGTATAATATGCATCCATAGCTCCAAAATAACGCTTAGGTGCACCAGCATGTGTTTTACTCTCAGCTTGAAGTCTAACTTTCACTAGATCAGTGGGATTAGCCACAGAAATTGCTATAGCACCTTTTATGGGATGGATCCAGAACCGATGGAAAATTTAAGAATGTTATAGCCTGACACTAAAGCTAAAGGAAAACCTTAGTGCTTGAATATCAATAACTTTCTCACCAGTTAAAAGTGCAGCTAGTATTTTGCTGAACAAAGAAACTTCTCCCACATAATCACTTCCCACCAATAGAGCCTTAACCTGCCTCCACATATGTAAATACAAGCACTAACAGAGATAAATAGCTCAAGCAGTAACACGTGCAATCTGAGCACTCACAGGCTCGTACAACCCGATTCTTAGGCCACCATAGAGGAACTGTCGATGTAAGCCTGGTACAAGGCCCTTCCATAGGGAAACTATCCCTTCTTCCTTAGCAATCGTCATCATAGTACCAAACAATCCCTTGTACTTGGATGCGCCTACTCCTCCTTCCCCTGATGCAGCCCGCTTTTGCAGCTGTAACCTAACTTTCGCTGTGTCTAAAGGTAGAGTGCAGAACTGCCAAAATATCAAAATCAACACAACATCGAATTATAGTATCACCGTCACATTCAAATGACGACATCATTGACTAGTGACTACACAACAAGAGGGAGTACTCAAAGGTAATTCGAGTATCAAATCACCGTGCTGACATTATGAGTGGAACACGAAAATGAGGTAAAATTGAAGTCGAAATTACCTCAGCGAAGCAAGCAGCGAAGGCGCTGCAAGCGAATATTCCGGCGAAGGAGATCTCGAGCTGATCGGACGCCATTGTGAAAAGAAAATCACCGGCAGCGGTTGAATAGCCGGGAGAGAGTAGTTATGTGTGCGTGATGAAGAGCAATTAACAGTGTAGGTATGAATTATGATGAGTAATCAACAAGTTTAAGGCGTGGCCGATACTATGATTGGTTGTGCTTTTACCAGTCACCGCGGAGGTAGTTTCTCACAATAGCTCTGTCAAGCAGAAAATTTATAAGAAAGGGTAGTATTGATTACTTGATTAGCCACGGTGCCTGTACCGTGCGAGTGCCTATACCGTGTAATCGTATAACGGGACGGATTTATATTTTTTTTTTCTTTTTTTTTTAAAAAATGTAATAACTTTTTTATTTTTGATCCGATTTTTATAAAATTTATATCAACATTTTTTATTTTTCATGATCTTTCAAATGAGACCAATATTGCCTATGTAATTTTAACATATTAACATTTGTGTGTGAAATATGTAAATTTAAGTGTTACAATATGTAACTCACGTTCAGTCAAGTCAAATGCAACTCGTGTGTATAAATATGTATCTCTACGTGTAACAATATGTAACTTTACGTAAAAAAATATGTAACTCGCATTCAGACAGGTCACATGCAACTCTTGTGTATAAATATGTAACTCGCGTGTATAAATATGTAACTTTACGTGTAAAAATATGTAACTTTACGTGTAAATATATGTAAGTCGCGTTCAGACATGTCAAATGCAACTCGTGTGTATATATATATGTAGCTCGCTTATAAAAAGATGTAACTTGCTTATAAAAAGATGTAACTTGCTTATAAAAAGATGTAACTTGCTTATAAAAAGATGTAACTTGCTCATAAAAAGATGTAACTCAATGTATTATCAAATGTAACTGAGGCCACTGATCCACTCCCAAACAGATTCGATCTTCTATTTCACAAACATATCATCTCCCAAACATATTCGATTTTCCTTATAATCCAATACTCATTAATATAATAGTTCGATAATTTCTTAAAATTACATAAGCAATATTGGTCTCATTTGAAAGATCATGAAAAATAAAAAATGCTGATATAAATTTTATAAAAATCGGATCAAAAATAAAAAAGTTATTACATTTTTTTAAAAAAAAAAGAAAAAAAAAATATAAATCCGTATAAAAAGATGTAACTTGCTTATAAAAAGATGTAACTTGCTTATAAAAAGATGTAACTTGCTTATAAAATATGTAACTTTACGTGTAAATATATGTAAGTCACGTTCAGACATGTCAAATGCAACTCGTGTGTATATATATATATGTAGCTCGCTTATAAAAAGATGTAACTTGCTTATAAAAAGATGTAACTTGCTTATAAAAAGATGTAACTTGCTTATAAAAAGATGTAACTCGCTCATAAAAAGATGTAACTCAATGTATTATCAAATGTAACTGAGGCCACTGATCCACTCCCAAACAGATTCGATCTTCTATTTCACAAACATATCATCTCCCAAACATATTCGATTTTCCTTATAATCCAATACTCATTAATATAATAGTTCGATAATTTCTTAAAATTACATAAACAATATTGGTCTCATTTGAAAGATCATGAAAAATAAAAAATGCTGATATAAATTTTATAAAAATCGGATCAAAAATAAAAAAGTTATTATCATTTTTAACAACAAAAGCAAAAAAAAAAAAAAAATAGGAGCATGCTGCGTCGTTTTGGGTCTAATCTATTTGATCTGATTTAATCTGATTAAGTCTCACCGGTATGGAATCCCACCAAAGACAATGTCACTAGTCACTACTCACTAATACTCGGTAACCCTCTAATTGAGTAGTTGACAATTTGCAACAAGTGCTTGGGTCGTTAGCCACATGGGATGTCATCATTTTCCAATTTAATAAAACAACAAATGTGATGTGCAAATACCTTATCAACGAATGTGATGTGCAAATACCTTCTCTACAAGTAGGGCTGACAATATCACCCGCATTCATGGATACACGGTCAATCCGAACCGTAAATATGAATAAAAACCCGAAAAAGTATGGATGACGGGTGGATTGAAAGACGAGTGAGATTGGGTGTGGATGAACACTCATCCAACCTATCACCCGACCCGTCATCCGCTCCACCCACACACCCGCTAACCCGCATATAAATATAAACATATATATTATATTATATATAATGTCTATTTAATAATATATAATAATTAATATTAATATATTAATAGATATGTATTTGTTAATGGAGAAGACACATACATATGAATTGGTGAAGTAAATTCAATTATTGGAAAGTTTCAAGAAGTGGCAGTTGAACTGCACAAATAGTTTAGTGCCGATGCGGAAATGTAGAATTTGACAGCTTGAAGAAGTTTTATGTTTATTTTGTTTGATAATCGGTTCTTTCTTTCTCGGCAGTGAATTAATGATTATTATATACTCAATTGCTCGAGTTTTTGTTGTTGTTATTCAATGAATTCTTAGTTTTTGGTTTTTAATTGTCATGATTTCTCTTTATAATTTATTTATTTTGCCTTTCAAATTAGACCATTTATATTCATCCGTTACTCACTCGATCCACCCGATAACCCGTTCATGATTATTGGTTGGATGTGGATGTAATTTTTAATGGATGATGGGCGGGTGGGTGGAGTATGAAAAATTAACGGGTGGACGTGGATGAGCCTTCACCCGGTATAAATCCGACCCGCTGCCACCCCTATCTAATAGGAGCAATATAATAATATCATTATCGTAACAATTTTAGTGAGGAGATCAAAATTTAAATTGCATCCTAATTAAGAATGCTAGCATTACAATAGAGCGGATAAATAATAGCAAGGTTGTTAAAATCTTAATTTAAATCGTAAAATCGTACGATTTTATGATTCTACAATAAATCGATTCAAATCGTAGGTAAAATCGTAAAATTAAAAAATCGTACACAATCGTAGCAAAATCGTAATAAGTTTTTTTTATTGAAAATGGTTCAAATTTATTAAAATTAACTACTACAAATTGATACATAACTACAATAATAATATCGATAGTATATTTAAAAAAATAATGGATTCCTTTGTTATTTAATTTTTTTTATGTTTTACATATGTTTAATGTTATTATTCACTACATTTACATTATTCAAATAGTTTATAGGTCTTGTTTTGGACCTTGCAGGTATAGTTTTATGTTATGAAATGCTATAATATCATTAACATGCATCTTAATAAAATAATTATTTAGTTTATAATTATTAAGATATGTTTAATAAAATCTTACGATTTGAAATTCGATTCTACGATTCGATTTTCAAAAACATCAACCGATTCAATTCAAAAATACGATTTTTAACAACCTTGATTAATAGGTTAGAAAAACATCCAAAAATGTGATATCCAATTTTGGGATTCCAATATATAAATATCAAAAAATAATTCCCTCGACACAAAATTAGATGTTGAGGTTTATTTTTTCAACCCAAAAGCCCAACACCTTCCTATGGATTTCGGGTGGAGTGTTTGGTAGATCAAGGGGATGATATAATGCAAACAAGCAAAGAAATGATGGTTATCTGCCAAGGGGTAATGTGATGATCCACGGTTAGGCCTATTAACCCAACATTATAGATAATATACACCATAATAACCATGCAAAGAAAAGTTTCAAATACGGAGCACTTTTTATTAAATTATTAAAGTTGATGCATATAATATAGTTTCTCATGTGTTCTTCCTTTATTATTATTAAGAAGGGTGTACATTTTCAATACTCTGTATAATGTATTCAACCATGCTTTATCAATTTCAAGATATTAGAATTTCAAATGATATTTTATAAGTTGACTAGTGAGACACTAATGCTTTGAGCTTTGTTAAGTAACGTAGTGTTTTGTGACATAAGAGACATTGAAAAGAAATATGAGATGAAGATATATTGAATTCTTCTCCAATCCCATTTTTTTAAAAATACTAAACGATCGAGAGGATAAAAACTCATACACCGTTCTTAATAATTTTCTTTTGGAAACTATTGAACCTTGATCACATAATGTTCTCTTATGTCACATCCTAGTAGTAAGCATAGAGGGTCAGAAAAATTAGAAGAAGAAATAAGGGTTAAGGCTCATAATGGACCATCTTTGTGTGGTCTATGTTTCGAGCTATTATACGCACAAGATGTTCATGAGCAACACTGGTGACCAACAGATCAAGGGTTTGTGAAATACGGAAAAAGACAATGAACATGAGTGTATTGTATTAGATGGTTGGGAGCAACTTCTGATTTTTTTTATTTATTTTGGCTACTTTAAATGAGAAGGGCTAAAGAATTGTTAAATTTAGAGGGGCCTTTAAGAACATACGTCAGTGGGTGGCCAAATGTAGCTCAAATAAGTCATTTATGTGTTAATTTGGTCCACTTAAAAGTTAAGGGCTTGTTTACTGACAGATATATTTTCTAGTTTTCTATTTCTGTTTTTCGTTCTTCAATTTTCTGTTTTCATTTTTCAGTTTTTGTGTCTCCAGTTTTTTGTATTCATTTTTTAGTTTTCCAATTTTTTCACCCGCTTCTGTGATTGGCTAAAAGACCAAATGTATGGCCCTAGTCCGAATTTGAACCTAGTACAACCCAAGTAGGGTAACGGGTCCCACATATAGGAAAGTCGGGCCCGAAACTGGTCGGTCCTGATTGATCTAAACAGTTAGTTTGATGAATTCTTTTCTCATCTTCCTATTGATTGACAATCCAACGGCTCTTTTAAAAATCTTCACTTTAAAAATGATTTCGAAAAATCGAGACTGAACCACCGGGTCATTGACCGGCCCGGACAAGGACGATCGGGTCATTTACCAGACAGGATATATGGGGACTCTCGGGTCGTTGATCGGACAGGACAGGGAACCGTACTGCCGGGTGGTTTACCGGACAGGACGGGGACCATCGGGTCATTGACTGAACTAGACGGGGATCGCCGAGTCATTGACTAGACCGGATTGGACCGAAACTGTCCGACCGTCGATCGGACCGAACAAGTACCGCCTGGTCGTGGATCGGATCAGACAGGGACCGTCGGGTCATCGACCGGACGGGACAGGGACCACCGGGTCGTCGACCAGACCAGGACCGTCGGGTCGTCGACCAGACCGGGACCATCGGGTCGTCGACCTGACTGGACCGAGATTGCTTGACTGTCGACCGGACCAGACACGGACCGATGGATCAATGACCGGACCGAACCGCCAGGAGCCCGGGACGTTGACCGGACTAGAACTGACACTGGAGCGAGGTCGGATCCAACCATAGGCGTAAGCATGCAAATTAATTGCAGTGGCATTGCAACATCCGCGGTTTCTGAATTTGGAAAACTAGTAAAAGTTTCTTCTCAAATTCATTAAGGAAAACAGAGATATATCTCATATTTTTGGTTTTGGAAAACGATTTGGTAAACGCACATTCCTGTTTTTTTTTCTCCAATTTTCTAGCAATTATTTTTAGTAAAACCTTTTTTTGTTTTTCTTTTTCCAGTTTTCTGAAAAACTAGAAAATAACTCAATTAGTAAACAGGTCCTAAGTGTCCAATCTGAACTTTGTAAATAACCTTAATGTCCTTTTTAGCATTCTCCCGAAGAAATAATAGTGAAGAAAGAAATTGAAAATATGAAAATTGTTTCAAAGCTTTTTATACTGGCCGCGGGGCATCCGATGGTTAGGAAAGGTAACAACTTGTAAAAATTTAAAATGTACGGAATTGGTTCCAATGTTTTGTGATGTCTTGGATTGACCGATTGACCAGCCAACAAATTTTTTTACATTGTCAAAAATTTAATTGTAAAATAAAGAACGAGCTATGAGACACCCTTTTTCCTCCATTCCTTTAAGAAAGATGACACAAATATTATCTCACATCTTACATTGGACAAACATATGAGTGAATTTTCATTTGACAAAAAAGTGACCTGACCTGTTTCTTCCATCTTCCTTGTTGCGCTTGAACCCCAGGAACAGAGACATCGACGCACATATCTATTCCGCCCATCTCTTTCGTGCACATATTATCGGCCATCCATCTCCTCCGCGCACAGAGCACCGGTCGTTGCCTTCTTCCACCGGCCGCAACCATCTGCATGTTCCACCTTCTCTCATACTGTCACTTTCCCCACGCCACCGCTCTCTGGAGACTTTGTTCGTGATTAAGTCTGGAAGATAATCAAAGATATTTCCGGCAGCGATTTCAAGGGATTGTCACCCTATTGCAGACTTAAGGTCACGACAGAAGGTCTCTGTTAGGGGTTGGCATATCGGTTTTCGATTCGGTTTTTATCAGTTTTAGTTGGGAGAATTAGTACCAAACAAAACCATACTATTTTTTTGTATGGTTCGATTCGGTTCGGTTCGGTTTGGTTCGGTTTGGATTTGTTATTTTTCAATAATATATGAAGGTTTTATTGAATTTCTTTAGTTCAGTTCGGTTGAATACGGTTTGGAAGAAATACTACCAAACTCAAACCATGGTCCGATTTCGATTCGGTTTAGTTCGGTTTGGTACGGTTCGATTCGATTAAATCAAACCAATATGCCCACCGCTAGTCTCTGTAGCTCCACCTTAGCATTTCTGCCATTAATGGCTGCTTGGTCACCTTGCTAATAATCTAGATCAACATAGAAGGTAATTGTGTGCTCTACTTTGAGGTTATGATTCCATATGGCTTAAATTCGAGTTGAGATTATGACTTTGGTCGATTTGGAGAACTCTTTAATTTCACCCTCATTTGGTCTGAATTTCAATTTTTAGCTATAGTTTAGTAGAACTCATGTAATGAAAACGTCGTTAATGGCTGTTAAAGTATTCTTCTGCGACGGAGATGGCCTTAGGGTGGTGATGTCTGTTCAAAGGAGAGGTGCAAGAGCGTGTCACTGTGACAGTTGAAGTGTGAGTGTCACCAGAGTCGACATGTCTATGTAGAAGTGTCACTGTGACCGGCGGCTATGACCAACAGTGTCACGGCCGATGGTGGCGATAGTGATATGACAACAGTAACATCCGAAAGTGACATGAAAATCGAGCAGTGACGTGAATTTTTTACTATCACTTTATTTTAATCACATTTTTATCCAAATATAATGTAGTCACATTTTTGGAAAATAGTTTTGATTTAGTAATATTAAGAGAATAACATATTGAATAACCCCTTGTCCTTGACTCCTTTCTCTCTTTCCTCTCTCTCCCTTCTCTCTTCCCTAAAAAATGGCATACAAGTATACAACTACATCATTCATTTGAATGTATATAGAATTAAATTGTTTGTTCACCCAGATAATTAAAATTTATCACTCAGACAAATAAAATAGATCACACGGACAACTATTGTGAATGTGGCAAATAATTGTATGTGTGCATGCAAAATATTGTTTGTGCACAGGCACTGCACACAGCACACATATAGACTGATTTGCGCACTAGTGTCAGTGTCAAGCGACTGTCACTATATCTTTTTACACGAAAATTAATGTCTGTGGACAAAGACAACTCTTGTCTATGCTCACAGACAAATGTGTATCAATTATCTATTACCGACATTTTGTGTACAAATTCTGTACAACTTGTGTACACGTAGGCACGTAGCATTTCTGTTCTCCCAAGGGCATCCAATCATAAATCAGATGACCAAAATTATTGCCACCTACCTGATTCCCACATTCTGACCGTAAATTCACCCAGCATTAACGGAAGATCCGCCAATCTAGAACTGAATTGTTGTGAGTGAAATGATGTCTGGCTTTGGGGGCGGACAAAATTCCTTGCCCCGCTTGGTAGAGGATCTCAATGCCAACAATTTCAAAATACAAAGATTGAAGTGCCAGTTGCATGCAAAGTGGCTTCTAATGCATGGAGTTAGGGATGGACCTCGAAGTCTTGTATGGTTCCATGGCTTCTCTGATTCTAAGTACCTGGGGCCTAGCCATGACACTGCGTCGGACTGGGTGGGTACAACTAATTTTTAGAACATTAAAAATCAAGGGATTTTTTAAATTTAGGGTGAACCGGGGCCTATGTTGGCCACTTGGCTCCCCTAGCTCCGCTAGTGATTCTTACTCGTTAGCCTATTTTAAAGCGAAGAAATGGGAGTGGAACCAATAAGGCCCTATTTTAAAAGCCATAAACAATCGAAACCGGTTCTTGTATATGTTCTGAGCCATAACCGAATGACTGGTACGGTTTCCAGGGAGAAAACCAACCGGTCTAGGTCCGTTTTGAAACCAGGTCCACTCTGCATGGTGTATCACTATTACTAGGTAGAAGTGTTAGTTTGCATTCTCATTCAATAATCTCTGCATAATAATGCAGGTATGCAGGAGTACAAGCGTGGAAGCAATGGTTTATAGAACTATTTCTGATCAGCACAAATTATGATTATGCAATAAGTAGTTTAAACATCATTAGTCTAGTTTCCTAAGCGACCACCACAAAAGCACTCGATGTACCTGTGAAATGCTTAATGGAGCTGAAGAGAGACTTAGCAGCACCAAAATGCCTTATTCTGTATACACCCAGAGCAGCTGTGGATGGTATTCTCCATTCAATGGTTGCCTGACTCCTAGCACTGAGTTTAGCGGGTCTTGACCAAATAAACCTAAGGCAGAAATCATCATCATCATAAGCAGGAACCCACGATTCCTTTCCTTGGAGGATCTCCACAAGGGCAAATGTACCCTCAGTCATGAGGTCATTACGGGGGCATGCTGAGTGGAAACTAACTGTCACCAAATCTCCCCTCTTCACAGTGGAGTTTTTAGGAACATCTGTCAAGACATCTCCAAAGTTGGTCCCCAGAGGTGTTGAATCCACGACAACCGGTGTCAAGAAGCTCAATTGCTTGTCTAGTAAATCTGGGGGTTGTGGACCACCTTCCACTGGCTGATCATTTATCAGGGCCTCTGCTAGCTTCTTAAACTCTTGAATGTAGGCACTTAGCGTGTGCGGTCCATACAACGTAGAGGCCCCCTAGAAAAAAGTGTTCAACATATTATGCTTGTAGAAAACATAGAGCCCTTTGGAAAGGTTTATTTTGGATGAAATTGTTGAAAATTGGGACTCATATTTGTTGAATTACTTGCTGAATTTTAAAAAGGTAATTTCTATATATTATGAAATAAAGGCTAAATTGTAATATCAGCAACTGCCATAACTTGATAACTTCAGTAAAAAGGTACTTTCAGTCTTTACTTATTTTCACATGAACTAGTGTTCTAATATATCTTGCTGATAAGTTGAAATTGTGGCAGCAAAATGGTCATTTAAACCATAAAGAAAAAAAAAAGGATAAATACATGCACGACCATCACGTTTCACAGTGTATGCTGTGCCTAGATCAACTAACCTCATATCTTTGAATCTGGTACTCTTCATGGGTGGTAACATATTGTGAATATGTATTAGTCAAACCAGCTATCACAACATGAACATTATTGTTGAATTTATTAGTGAGAACTGTTTTCATAGCATCTCGTAGACGCCTCCCAGCCATTGTTGTGAATTCTGTAAAAAACAATCAGAGAGGGATATTATTGTTAATGCCCAGTGGTAATTTTAAGTCTTTACACATAATGTATGATGAACTTTGACCCATAATTGTCTAAACCTTTAGTACGGGGTCACACAAAAATTCAGGATATCATAGCTTAGACTAAAGAGTCTATTTGGTGGCCTGATTCAGCCTATACAGCAAAATAAGCAGGTTATGACTTACTTATTTGTGGCTGAAATGAATGTTTCCAAAAACTACTCCTTTCAGAAATTACCCAACAGGCTCTAGATAAAATAAAATAAGGTTTTTAAAAAATATTATTGAAATAAAACTTATATACAAAAATATAACTAAAAGTTACTATATTATAGTGTTATGGTCACTTAAGTGTAAAAAATGAACATAAATTACTACTAGAGTCACTACAAGAGGTCACATTTTGTAAACAACCTTTATTTTACTCATAAACATGTAATTATTTCAAATAATATTTGAAGGACGACAATTTCTCTTTAAAGGATCATGTAATGAATAGCATCATGACCTATGATGGACAAGATTCGGGGTCCAAAAATTACCTCCAGGTACACTGAGAATTACAAGCTGCCCTACTCGGAGTATCTGGATGGGAAGTATAGCAGGCTGCAAATCATTTTTTTAAAACGAATGTTAGAAAGGCCATTCCCAAAATTGGCAAGAAAGAGACATGTATCATCCCCAATGGACAGAAAAGACCAACTCAAGATTACTATCTCAAGATCATGGGTCATATATGTAACATCATCCACCAATATCATGCGGTCAAAGGTAAGATACTCACTGCCCATTCATAAGGTTCCTTCATTTCTCCAGTATCAAGCAGAATGGGTTTTGGTTGATGGCACTCCTCTTGTTCCTTACCAGGAGTTTTAAGTACGTTGCGTACCACTCTCCAAAATGCATTTCCCTAAGTGAATATGAAATTTCAGAAAACAAGAGAGGACATATTAGCTTATTAGCTTAGTTCTCTACCCTGATGAAGGCCCATTTTTCAGTACCTGGTCATCACCCTGCTTGAAATCAAAAGCCCCAGGACCATCAGTTGTACCAGCAGCAAATGCAAACCCCATTGCAGCAGGACATGTTTTGACAACACCAGTACCGCCGCCTTGTTTCGAAATGGTCACTTCAAGGTTTGAGAAGTTCAGATAGGCATGACGGTAATCAATTTTCCCCTTCAACTGTTCTGTTGCAGAGTTGAAAAGCTCCACTGCTTTCTTAAATTGTCTCTCCCCAATGATGCGTGTACTCTCAAACTCATCCGGGTATCTGCTAGTCAAGGAAGACAAGAAGTCATAATTGAGAGCTAACCATTGTCAATGTGTACACTGAATTCGCTGATTCTGAAAAGATGTAGTGCACGAGACACTTCTGTATGGCTGAATGGCTGAAATTGATACTTTTAGCTTTATATTTAGATAGAATTTTCTTATATATACAACAACAACATCCCAGCCTTAATCCCAAAAGAATTTGGGGTCGGCTAACATGAATCATTCTATGATATCGATGCCAAACAAAGAAGACGGACAAGAAAGGGAAGAAAAAAAGTAAGATAAAACGAATAAAATAAAGATAAATATAATATAAGATAACAATAACACGAGAATATAAGAAAGATAAAAAAAATAAAAAAGAGCATAAAAAAGCTAGAAGATAAAATAACATAAGAATATAAAAGGATAAAGAAGATAAACGATAAAAGAAAAAAGAGAGGAAAGGTAGAAAAGACATCAATCGTCCACATGGATGTATATATATGTATATAAAATTATAAATTGTTAAGATTTGTTCCAACGTATCCAAAAAACTATGACTATAATGACTCTTTTTTAGATTTGTTCCAATGTCTGTTTTCTTATATATATCTGTATACAGATTTTTAAGATTCATTCCACTTATGTATCCAAAATCTTAACTTCTTAAGACAAAATTCAGCAGACTCAGAAATACAAAGCACAAATGTAGATCCAACATGTTTAGTCTTAGCAACAAGTCTATAACTCTATATGCAAGAGTTTTCATAATAACGCATACCCTGGGCCTCGTCCATAGCATAACTCATTTTTCCCATTGCATGTGCTTTGATTGAAGTCACACGGTAACCCTGTATCGGTACAGAAAGCACCAAGCACATTTGGACTGACATCCCCACAGTTGGTTTGACAAAATGCCGAGACAAAACTAGGCTTATCAGCAAGCCTGAGAGCAGACCTTACACGCCGAGCAACACTCAAGAGCCTAGTAGCTACTTTACCAGATGATGACTGGAACGAAGCAGCAAGCTCCAGTAACTCATGATCTGCATCATAATAACACCCAATAGTTTAGGCTTTCAACCCCTGATTCCAGTTTCTGCATACATTCACCACAAAAGTAGTAACTCTGCCATCGATCATGAATCAGTATACATTTTTATCTATGAAGAATGGACATGCATGTGTACGGGTGTAGAAAACGGTATTTCCTAAAAAATATGTGACATTGGGTACGGCGGGGCGGGCATACGAGTACTTTGTATATTATTTATTTTCTATAATATATTCTCTTTTATTGTGTGCACTCAATAAACACAGTGGTTGAAAAGATTTTGGATATACAGTCCAATCCCTTTCTTATAAAACCAATAATTAGCAAATATGTGATGAGTTGGGTATGGTGGCCCAAAAGACCTATTCTTGTCATTATACTACATTAGTGAGAGCTACAGCTGCACATCAGAGTTGATAACTCAGAAAGGAGGAGGAGAGCAAACAGTCAATATAGCTGCCAACAAAATATGAGAGGCGTGTGACAGAGATACGAACTGGAGAAGGAAAACCATAATGCCGTATTTTTCTCTGGGTTTGCAAACAAGGCCAATGCCTTCAGTAGTTTTTTAAAGCAATCTGAGTTCTCTTTTCTCACCTCAGCCATGTCCTCATTTTAGGAGAAGAAAAAATATATGTTTTAGGCATGTCCCTGCTGTGTCCCTGGAGTGTCCAATACGTATATGGTACATTTTTAGGAGAATATGAGTGGACTTGCTTCATAATTTTCTATCTATTTAAACATTAAAATCAACTTGTATTAACGAGAACTGCACAAGTGAAAACTCCAAAGCAATCTTCGGACAAAAATTCAAAACTGAACATGATAAAGTAGATTACTTCCGAAACTTTTTTCCTTCTGAGTACTTTCCTAAAGCTTTCTTCTAAGTTTTTTTTCTGCTTCCTTTTGCTTCATGGATAATAGATACTACGTAATATTTAGCCATTCAACCCTTGGTTGCATTTTTTACGTGCATTCACCGCATCGGACATGACCTCAACATCAGGCATGGATCAGCATACATTATCTATTAAAATCAACTCGCATTTAAGAGAAGTGTACAAGTGAAAACTCCATGACAGTCACGGATTAAAATAAAGCAAGATAAAAACAGAGTTCAAGCTGCTTCCTTGCATTTTCTTTCTAATTTTAGTACACATCTACATGGTTTCACTTCCTGGTTAATCCTATAGTTTCTGTCCCATAGTGTGCATGTCTATTACCATTTTTCCATAGTACAAAAGTCCTTGTCCATATGTCCCCTTCTAAAGCTGTTACATTAAGTCACGTAGGTTATCACTGAGTCACAGGTATATTCCATAATTAAGGATGAGGAATAAAAAAAGACAGCCCAGTGCATATTGGTGTCCCTGCAAGGTGAGGGTCTGGGGAAGGGTCCCACCACGAGGGTGTATAAGGAGCAAGCCTTCCCTTGTCATTTTGACAAGAGGCCACTCCCAAAACTTGAACCCGTGATAATTGAGATTGAGGAATGATAAAGAGAAATTAAAGATTGCAAGATTCATCATAATCATATATGCAAACAGTCTGGGTATTACTTCCACGAATATGATCAACCGAATATTAGAATAGATTTACATCTTACGCTTCTTATAAACAGGGATGATGTTTGATATCCTTCTTGGCAATTTCCTAGATTTGGATGCATTAGAGGCCCGGGTTTCAGTACTTTTTTGGCTAAACCAGTCTTCCATAAATCTTGCAGCGGCTCCTTTGTTATCTCCACTAATTAGAGAGTTTGTACGGCCCATAGAAGTTCCATGAGTAGCAAACCAATTAAAGCTACCAACCGGACCCCAGTCATCATCCACAAACTTTAGTAGGGTCATTTCTTTGTCGACATTGTACTTGTATTTATTACGTTCAGCAGAGGGATTATTAAGATATGCACTGGGACTGCGGTTCACACCACCATCCAACAGCTCTCCTATTCAATAGAAAGAAGAAGAAGATGAAAGTTAATCAGGATAATATGACCATTTAAATAATAGCAAAGCACTCCAAGAGACTATTGGAAAACTAGTAAATATGAGGAGCTATAAGTCTCAGTCCAATGAAGCAACATAGATTGTTAAAGGGGTATTAGATAGCAGCCCATCTCTTTTAGCCTTTCAGGTCTCCACATGGAGACATCCATATGAGGAAAAAAACAGAAATTTCATTTTAGTAATCTGGTTGACTGGTTCTAGATGAAATACAAAAATCCATTATGGAAACTGTGGTATACAATTATGCACCCCTAATTAATGATGAAACACTCACTAGCTTTTGATGGAAAGCAGGGGGGCGGGGTACAGATGACACTTTACATTTATATGAGGTGTCGGGCTTTCTGATTAGACAAGAATATAGATATACTGATAATAAAGCCTGCCAAACTGCCTTAGTGTCTGTTTGGATAAAGGTACATGGAGGGGTTTGGAGGGAAGAATTAGGACTGCAAATATATTTGGACAAATAGAATGTTTCTAGTCTAAAAACAAATAAAGGTGATTAAAATGTATGATCACATATTATGTTTATCTTTCATTTTGTATAAATTCTCAAAGAAATATGAAGAAATAGACCAACTCATCCAATGCTTCCCCACTCCAATACTCTCCATGCAAAAAGACCATGAGTGAACTTAAAGAGATAAGAAGGGGGGAGAGAAATGAATAACTCTACTCCACTACCTTTATTAACAAATATTGATCCAGGTCGCAGGTTTTCGTGGGCTTGAATTATGCTTTGCTCAATACCATCTACAAGAGCATCAAATGACTGGCGGACAAAACCCAGAGATGTTACTATATACACTATATACTGTAGATATCCTCCAGGGCCAGAATGACTGTGGATACCACTAATGGCAACATTGTTTTCTGTATAGAGATTTCCATACCTGAAGAACAAAAATGTACTTGTAAGAAAAGCTACTTTAACTTTCAGACTATGACTTATTAAGAGCATATCATGAACAATCATAGCATATGAAGTATTTGACAAAATAAAATCAACACCAATTTCAAATGTAAATAGAATGCCAGGTTTAGTAAGAAAAGACACGTATTTCAGCCTTTGGGCTTTGCTTGCTAATACTACTAGATCCCCTCAACTTCTATGTGAGCCTATTAAGCACGTCGGGGGCACACCTAAGACTCATTGGCCCTTCTTTTTTGCATCTCCAATTCATTTTCCACCAACACACTACATCGTGAGCTATTTGATTGTCAGGTAAGTATACTAGGTGAAAAGTCCAAATAAATTACATCACACCACCAAAAACTTTGATTTATTGTAGGGATTACTCAGTTCCGGAATCCAAAGGTGAAGGAAAAGAATGATGCTAAATTTTTTATTTCTACAACAACATTACTCAAGTGCCGCAAAGGCTCCCACCTGCGGTGGGGTAGGGGGGGTCGGATGTACTAAAACACAGCGAGACTTTTTCCCAAGTGCCGCAGTTTTACCCTTGTACTAAAGCACAAAGAGACTGTTTGTTTCCTGATTGCTGCTTCATAACAAAGAAGTGCAGACATTTTAGTTATACATTTTGTTTTATTCCATCATATATAGCAAGAATGGGAAAATGGCTACGATGCCATGAGCTAACAAAATGTGATGACAAAGGAGTGCTCAACAGGTCTATTGTTAGCTTATCGTGTGCTTAATAGGTCCAAATTGAAGTTGAGGGGCTTAACACGGATAACAAACAAAGTTCAGAGGATTGAAAAATGAAAATGGTCTTTGCCGGTTCAGTAAGATGAAATAATAGAACGAGCATAATATGCTACTAAGGTTTGAATGTATACCTAGCTTTCAACCTCTCAAGAACCTTAATGGTCACAATCTGTGAGGCCATGCAAGCATCGAGATTTACAAATACAATGCGGTTTCCTTGCGGTTCAGCTACTATAAATGTGCGAGCTCGAAGCCTAAAGTGAACTCCAGATGCAATCTGTTCCATGTTAGCATACCCCATCATGTTGGCATCAGCTGCCGGCCCTGTGATATCATAGCTACCAAGCCCAATTAAATATCTAGAATTTTCCTCTCCTGCTTGGCCATCTCCAGGACACACTAGCAGTAGCAATTGCAACCAAACAAACAGTCTCCATGTATGAAGCTTGAGAATAAAATCTAATTTCATCTTCTTTTTTCCCTACGGCAATGCTGGATCACTGATTCACCTTATACATATACAATCTTTTTTTGCCTGGCAAAAGTCAAACTCAGAACATGGGATAAAGTTTTACTCGTAAGACTTGCACAGTTACACATGGTCATGGGACATCAGGACATGGGCTGTATGGGCATTAAATGGAATCTCCTGGCCAAATACATTTTAATCTGCCTAAGCTAGATCATAAATGGAAATGACTTAAAGAACTATTTACAAAAGATGGAGATAATTAGCACGGATTACTTCATCTAATATGGAGTATCAAACAATCAAAATATATTACCGGCGGGATTTCAAAAGTAGAGCCTAGAGGCATATGTTAGAAGAAAATCATTTCTAAATTCTAATTCGAGGCTCTTTATCCAAAAGTAGAAGTAGAGGTTTCTTGATCGCAGAAGATGAGGATTATGAAGTCGCACCTGTACCATAAGTGAAGAGGAGAGGAGAAACCCGAGAACTGTGAATGTTGCCAGTCCCGTCAACATATCGAGTTCAGTGTTCACATGGAGGGAGTGGGATTCTGGTTTTGTGGAGAAGAAATCCGAGATTTTCTGTAGTGTTTTTTTACTCGCTCAATTTGTGACTAATAATTACGTAGTGGCGGGTAGGTAGTGCAAATGATGTCCTGAAAAACGATCGAGATTGATGAAGTAGGGATGCGTATTAATTTGGATTCACGCTATAAACGCTGGTCGGTGATAGGATCTATCGTGTACGTGTACCTCATCAAAGCTTCGTTTGTTTAATCAGCATCATCTCTTTTTTTTTATCGACCATTTTCATCGATATTACTCGATATTAATAGTGTACCCGGGGTTGATGAGTAGTAAATGGATGTCTTAGATTCAATTCTCACCAAGAGGAGATCAGCGGCCGAGAAGAGAGAGGATGGTAATGAAGGTAGCGGGTTCATCAGATCCGTATTTAGTTGTCTAGAAGTTTTGGAGGTAGTTCATAGACTCCAGGATTATGAGAGCGTAAGCCCCGACACCTGAATTATAAAAAAAAATTAATAGTGTGCACCCGTGCATCATAGGGTAATTTTTTCTTAAATTCATCAATCGAAGTTTAAAAGAGAACTCAACTAACTATGTATACATATGTCAAATTAAGTCGAGCTCCAACGAGTTTGCTCCTTTCATGGTGGATTGCATTTTAATAACCTAATTAACTCACTGGTTTTGCGGGTCCATATACAGAGGTTGTGGATTGACTATACAGCTTGTGATTTGCTCAAAATATAAACATTTTGTGTTGACTTTCACTATCTTAATTATTGTTTGTTTACGACAAATATTATTTGCTATTATGTACTTATCATTTCATAGCAACCTTTGTTGAACTACTATTTCTATAATAACCATTCAAATACATTATTCATGCATTTTTTTGTAGTTGAAAATAATTATTTAACAATTAGTAGTCATTGTTTATAAATACTACGTATATACTCAATAGATCTAATTATTATAACCTTATTTTAGTACAATGAGTTCTTTTGATTTAATAATATTTTTAATTGAACTTATCAAGTATATGGTGTGCTTAGTAATATAATTTCTTATATTTCCTTTTATTACTACTTACTTACACACAGAGGAGTTTTTTAAGAGATTCGATAGGTTCTAGTGTTCTACAAAACAGGTGCCTCGTATGGGTCCCGAGTTTTTAATAATTTATTTCCCTCGATTTATGGGCCCCCGAGCTTTTAATAATTTATGAGTATTATATATTAACATTAATCAGTAAAATACAATGAGTAAGAAAGAAAAATACAGATCTATCATTTTTTCGTTGGTCCTTTTAATTTACATCATTTTCTTTTATTCAAATTGCTTGAGTAATGAGGCATGTTGCTTTAAAACAAGTATAAAGTAACTTTTAGATTTTTTTTATTACATTATTTAGTGAGTACTCAATTGTTTTGAGTATAAGTATTAAGATTTTTTTATTTTTTATATTAATGTGGGGCCTCGGTTTTACATTTGGAACTGGTGCCTCATAATTCATTAGACGACTTTTGCTTACCAGCACACAACGAATATAATTTGAATCAAATGAGAACATCATCTTAGAAGAAAAATGACAATGAATTTGGATCATTAGATTTGATAGTTGCTCATTATGTGAAATATAAATGTGCACTACAATAAATCAGAAAATGAGGTGGTGTTTTGTAGACAAGTTTTACCTTTTATGCCCATTTGAAGTACGCATTGTTTTAATTATATGTGTGCACATCCATTAATAATGATGTACATCGTTTCAGATCATTCTTATTTCAGGGTGATTATTTGCAAGATCTTTTTCCATGTGCATTTTTTACATTGACCCGCGGGGCAATCTTTAAAACTCGCAAAATTTTGTTGGAAAAGAAGTATGAGAGGATTTGTTTTTATTTTAAGAGGCTAAAATTATTTGCTTTTTTATTATTTTTGAGTATTTGCAATTTTTATGCTACTGTCAAGTGCAAATTTTTACCTATATTTATTATTCATACACAACATTGTGATGCATATACATATATATATATATATATATAATACTCCTAACTTATACATAGTATACATTAATTTTTATCTAAATTTTTATTGGAATACATATGAGTGGGGGGTTGGAAGTTGAATAGCTTTTGTTTAATGGTGTTGTCACATGTCATTTTTTCTACAAAAGATGGTGCCACATATCAATTATTTCACCAAAGAGCTCTCCAAAAGTTAGGTTTATTTTATTATATAGATGAAAATATATTCAAAAGACTTTCAAAATTTAAAATTTTCAAAAAAGTGACGTATTTAGTAAATAGTTCTCAATGACTTATCATCTATTAGTGACTTATCATTCTAAAAAATACACTATAGTGAGTCTTATCCAGTTATTCGTACACAGTGACTAGTCATATTTTTTCAAAAACATAATTAGTCATATTTTTGTCGAGATAAACTTTGTTGTAACAATATATATGTCATTATTTCTTGATTATTCTCTCTTTTTTTTCACCATTTCACTAAATTTAGAATTAGAATCATCATTCTACATTATCAATATTTTTAATCTTTGAAGTGTGATGACCATTATGATTTGGATATCATATTGGTCTCTCAATCATGTTCTGTATCACCTTTATTTGATGACCGAAACATCTTCCTGGTCCCCCGACCATATCTTCTAGAGTTGTGGTCATCTATATTTGATGACTCAAATTTTATATCGTCATCTTGGCTATATCTCTCGATCATTTTTATTTGATGACTTGTAGTTAACATCACCCCCTTGGCGGTTTGTGCATGTCATCTTTATTTGACGATTTGAAGCTCATATTGGACCATCAGACCTCTCTTCTAGTCATCTTTATTTGATGACTTGGAGTTCATAACGACCGCTTGGCCATATATATCATAGTCATCTTTACATTATGGGTAGGGCTACATATCATGATGGACTACACACTCGACAAAGGAGTCAGTGAGAGAGTAGATCAGACGCATACGACGAAAATGGCTCACATTACAAGACTGGCCTCGGCTATCCCATAGCAAATACCCTTGCAACTGTCGAAGAGCACATCCTTTTACTTCATTTTGGAGGCACCTGGTGTACCCTTCTTCCCTCACTAAGATTTTCTCCGGTCTTTCTTCCCCTGGTGTGTTTTTTAACGAGACATATCCCCATTGTGGACAAAAAGTGTCGGCCCTCAGCCCGGCCTTAAGGATCGACCACTCAATTTGAGTAGTAGGTAACCTTAGTCGGTCACAATTTTAGCCTTAAAGGATAAAAATGAACTGAACTAGCATGGATGGGAATCAAACTCATGACGCTCAGCAGACTCACGCAATGCACGACCCATCTTACCAAAGCTTCCAATACGTTTGTAAGTTACTCCAACTTTTATTATACTTTCTCTACACGTCATTAACTATAAGTATTAATAATAATAATAAAAAATTATTATTATTAATAATAATAATCGGTTCGGTTCAGTCCAAATTGATATTTTGTATATATAAACCGATTCCGAACCAATTTTTTACCGGGTCCCGATTTTCGGGTCCCAAAATTTATCGGTTCGGTCCGATTCAGTTTTCTTTCAATGCGGTTCGGTTATTTTCGGTTTGATTTTTGGTTTTTTGGTTTAAAATGCCAGCCCTAATTCGTAGTATCACATCTCATGGAAGATAAGCACATAGCTCCACTCCCTTTCACCTTGAGTACTCTCGCCTCAGGGAGTATGGGACTGCTGATAGAGTATATGTGTTCGAAAAAACTAGTCAATGTACACTCACCTCTGGAAGTAGGAGACTCCGATAAGCAATGTGCACGCTTATTCCTTGTATCACTGTCGCAATATTCAAACCACGATTATCCAAGTCTATGTAATGGAAAAACTATAATATAAGTAACTACACTTACTACAAAAAACAACCAAACAAGTATGACGATCGGAAAATAACCTAAAATTAGCGAGTCAGTGCCGTCTTTTTCTTTGCATTTTTTACTCGTTCCTTTTTCTTTTCTTCTTCTCTTAGTGTACCCTCCAACTAAAAAGTGTTTCAGGCGGGGTAAATAATGTATTTTTAACGCATTTTCAAAATATTTCACATAAATTTTAGGGACATAAAAGGCATTGCACAAACACACTGGTTACCCTGTTGATCGAAATGTTTTTTGTCTATGTCGCACTATGCGATAGTTATATCGTGAACTGTTAGTGGTAATGTGGAGAAAAGTCATACTACGTATGCAATAGCAGTCTGTAGAGCGAGAAAGAGATTTGCAATGAATGAATATTCAAACCTTTAGAATTGTCCGGAAAATGGCTATTATATTTATAGTGGTAATTAATGAAAACAAAGTTCATTAAATGTTTTTACCCATGTGTATTGGAGAACAAGTGGCACTGCTAGCGACATGGTGCTACAAGGGAAGAGGGTGCATGTTGCCCTCGGTCGTAAATGATGATGTTTTCTCCATATGTCTTTTATCTAGCTAGTGGATCTCCACATGATCTCGGTCGGGATTGTACGATCAAAGGAATGGTGACTAAATTATTGATTGACTAAATTATTTACCAGATATTTATGTAGTTTGATTGACTAAATTATTGACTAAAATGAAAATAAAACATGTAGATGTAAAAATGAATTTACGTAAGAATAGTATTAGGAACATATAGATTATCCAAATATATATGTAAAATATATTTGTGTATTACATAATTATCTTTGTTGTTTCTAAAATTGCTATTTTTAATGCTCCAGAGATACATGGAATGAGAATTTGAGTCACTGGAATGGCTCAAATATGGAACATATGAAGAAGCCATTTATAGTTGATTTGGGATTTGAGGATTTTTCTATTGAGGCAGAAGCCGGTTTGTTATTTGAAGATGAATTCAACTCCGATAATGAAGATGATGAGGAGTTGCGGCATGGTAGAGTGTTGTTAAGGAAACTGGTAACAAATGATAAAGGTGCTCATCAAAGTAAAGATGACAACAAACATACGGATCACATATTTGAGGAGAACTTGTCTTTAGAGGATGATGGTTGGGAATCTGATTATTTTAGTTCAAGTGAAGAAGGAAGTTACAAAACTTGTTTAGATACAGAAGAAGAAACTTTTTTGAGAACGAAAACCAGATTTTCACCTTTTAGACCGAACAACAATGTTGACTTTACATTAGGCATGAGCTTTGAGTCTAAAGTTGAAGTGAAAGAGGCAATGGATAAGTATTCACTGAGTAATCGCTACCTTCATTATTGGGCTAAAAATTATTCTGACATGCTTAGGGCCAAGTGTGCTAATTTGGATAAGACGTGTACATGGATGGCATACTTTAGCAT